GGAGTACACACAAAGCAAAAAAAAAAAAACTTAAAGGGTTTCTAAAGCTAGCAAGCAGTAGATCTATGCAAAAAGTTTAAAAAAAACAAAACACTTTTTAAAACGTACCTCTGCCTTTGCCGCGCGCTCCTGTCCGAAAATCTGAAACCGCTCGGACGACTGCAAAGCATCTTGGGGCGGGCGCATGCGCAGTTCGGATTTTCGGCCGGGAGACGAGGAGAGACACAAGGTAAGTCTATGGACGCGAGCATCCGCATGCAGACACCGTGGGACAGGAAGTGCCAGTAAGGCCCCTTATTAGCCTGTCCCTACTCGATCCAGAACAAAAACGTTTGGTCTCTATATACACACTTTACTCTTTCAAAGTTGTGCAGTGGGTGTGGGCAAATCAAGGCAGGCAATTATTATTAGGTCCACCCAGTCTTTTACAAACAGGCCCCATCAACATGTGTAATTGAATTATGTTTCACGCCTATAAAGAAAGGAGAGGAGACAACTGGACACTCCCAGCTTAAAGTAGATGGAAGTCTTACATGGAATTTCTCAGGGCAGGTTAATATGATGGGGACAACATTGGAACAGGTCTGTATACCGAGTGTTCACCTGGCTACTTGTAGCCTCCATTGAAAGTCCAGGTGACAGGGTGATGACAGAGGGGCACAATTACAGCGACAGGGCATGGTCATCCCATAGCAGGAAATACGTGAAGGAGGACCTTATTGACAGGATCATCGGTTATTATATCAATAAGAGATACAGATTTCAAAACACTCACAAACATTAAAAAAACACATTTAAAAAAAAAGAGATTTTAGCGATTGGTTTGACTTAAACTTTAAATGACTATGTAGGCGAGAAGTGGCTTCAAATAGGCTGCAAGACATCAGCAGCACGCGTGGGATGACAACTGTGTATGATACAAGGAGCTTTGGCAAACTATTCGTCATTCAGTTTGGGTTTACATCCACTTGAATTTTAAACTGATTCAACAGTTTGTACCTGGAGGTCAAATGCTGACTACAAATGCTCCCATAATATTGTCACAAAACAAAGATCACACACAATACACAGAGCAATGACAGCAGAGCCGGAGCAAACAGGATTGCCATTTTACAAGCATCTGTGAAGCTTTATTGTATGTACTGTATGTTCCATACACTTCCCAGCTCATCAGAGATTAGACATGAAGCATCACAAAGAAACAGACCAGTTTTCATGTTCTCCCTGTGCTATGGTGGGTTTCCTCCGGGTACTCCGGTTTCCTCGCACACGCCAAAGACATGCTGCAAGGTTAATTGGCTCCTCTCTAAATTGGCCCTGTATGTATGTACAATAGAGGTATGGACTGATGTGAATGTGCAACTATGTAAAGCACTATATATATATATTCTTCTGAACTGAAGAAGAGAGGTTCACTCTCGAAAGCTTGTCTTTTATATATTTTGTTAGTCCAATAAGAAAGGTATCATTGCACACTGCAATACTAAGTTTTTTGTTTTTTTACATCTTGTCTACTGGACTAATCCAGCTTACATTTACATACACATACATACACACACAATATACCTGTCATAAATAATTGCCTTCCACTTATATGTACAGTTGTGGCTTTCTGAGATTTCTCCCTACAAGTTCCTCTCTCTGGCATTGATCATTTTGGCTGTTGGACACTTTCCCACCATCAATCTTCCTTTAATACTATGAACTGTAAGTTCTGCATCCATAGCAGGAAGTTCAAATGTATCCACTTGAAAAGTTCAATCACAACCTCACACTCCCATAGTAAGGATTGTTCCTTCAAAGCAACACAGTGACTAATTCAAGAAAATTAGAAAAAGGAGAAGCGCAGCTACGTCATAGTTGGTACCTGGTCTAGCAACCTTTATATACAATGTCCTCAAGACACCACCACCAAACTGGAACCTACCCATGACAGGCATGTGCCATGGTAAAGGAAACATGTGCTGAAAGAACATGGAGGCTGCCATTGCCGATTTCTCCTTTTGAAAATACTAGCTGTCTGGTCATTATGCTGATCTAATGGCTTTGGGTCTTTTACAAGGTACTGACCTGGAACAATCACACCGATCAGTTCATTCAATCAATGCTTGTTCTAGGTCAAGGGTTCAGAGTGTAATTAAGTCACAGGATGAGCCTCTTGAATAGGCAACCAGCATTTTCGGAAGGAGGTCAGCAATGGCAGCCTACGCGTTTCTCTCAGCAGAGGTCCTTTATAGCATGGGTGGAGAAATGATTGAAATTCAGGAGCTAGGACTTTTTTTAGTGGGACCACCTCCACTGACAACAACTAGAGAAAACCCTACAAAGTTGTGTGTCTGGAATTTTTAAGGAGTGTTGGCTACCTGCCTTCTGGCAATTTGTCCAGCTCTGTTTTAAAGTCTAGTGCCCCAAAATACAAGAGCAGAACAATCATAATACTGTAACCCTGCTGGCTGACAAATACATAAAGACCTCAATAGAGTACACAGTACCAACAAGGAGACACTTAGGGCAATAGTTCCACACAGTTGTATGAAAATATCCCTCCAAAACGTGAAATGACTTCTGGGCAATGCCATGTTTTACATGTCAGACTTGCAAGTCAATGCCCCACTCACCGAATGTCTGAAGCAATTAGACAGGAAAGACAGTCCAAAATTCTAATTCTAACCTACAAAGCTCCGGCAGGACAAGCTACCTGGGTTGTCCATATGTGTCATGAGCAACTTTAAAACACTACCCTAAGTGCAGCCTCCGCTTTGCACACAACCTCCTCTTCCACTTTAGTTATCTCTTCTCTGGGATTTCCATCCACATGCCGCCATCAGTACATATTCAGCCCTCGAAACTCAAAACTTCCCCTTCAAAAGCAATTCTTCAGTCAAGCATATAATCTGGTCTAAGACATCCTCTTCAATAAGTGATCCACCATCACTTCCTCCTCTGATGTCCGACAAGGATCACAATTCTGAGGTGTCATATATGGGGACACCTTATAGCATAAAGTGTGTTGGGAAAGGACATGCCCACTCTTGTTTGTACTTTTATACTCACCTGATCCTCAAACCCACCTGGTTTCTTGAGCCGTTTCCTCAGCCTCTTCTCCCCGGGCTCCAGAGGTCTAACAACCCATGATGTCATGTCTAACGCAGGTCCATTATACATAAAAGGTCCATTGTACACCCTGACCAACTCAGGGGTGGTATTAGAAAGACCTGCACGCCCCAACTACCTAAGTAGTGAACAACAAGCACCAGCATGCCCCAAACACCTCATGGGTGGAATTACAACGACGAACATGCCCCAAACACCTCACAGGTGGCAGTACAAGGGCCTGCACTTGATCCTCAATCCCACCTGGCTTCTAGGAGCGGCCTCCTCAGCCTCTTCTCCCCTAGGCTCCAACGGTCTAAGGACCCATGATGTCATGTCTAACGCAGGTCCATTATACATCAAGACGCCAAGAAGCATGCCACAGCCAGTGCGGAGCAGGAGAGAGGTGAGCAGTCACTACCACAGGGCCGAGTTTTGTGTAAGAATTTTCTCTTTATTTTTCGCCCCTAGACCAAAACGAGGACTTCACTGCTATGCTAGGATAAATCTGACCACCAACATCATTCGCAACAAGTACAAATAAAACAAAACATTACTCTTCCTCCTCAGTGTGTCACAGCCGTCAATGGTGGGGGCGGACGCAGCAATCCTCTCAGAGCAGGGCAGGAATAGAAAACAAATTATTCTGCTTTAGACCAGCTGGTGTTCTTTTCAGCCCTCCCATCTTCAAAAACTGAGACAACATTGTTAATAAGTTACAGCTGGAAAACGAAACAGCTGCACCATTGAAATGACTTCAATGTTATTTTAGTTCACTGTCCTTTGACCACCAGAGATATCCATAATCTTAGGGCTAGTTCACACCAAAGAGCAGAGCAGTTACAGAACGGATCCAAACTCTGTCCACTGTATTCCAAGGGTATTTTGGGCTCTAGTTCCCACCGCAGCGTTCGGTTCCAGAAAATGTGGAAAAACCGCAGCATGCCCTATATTTTCTGCTCTGGAACGCACCAAAACGCATGCAAATGCCTTGGAACGCACTGAAAGCCCATTTTATGCTAAAAAAACCAAACGTCCCAGAGCATGTAAAAACCGCAACAAAACACACTGCACTGCGTGTGCAGGAACTCATTCAGATCTGATCTACATTTGGTGTGAACAAGCCCTTATACATTTGATTTTGTCTTCCTTGTTACCTACAACAAACCAGGAGAAGGATTTGCTGCAACCGACTACGCCATTAAAAAAATTTATTATGTCATCAAAGTAAAAAATTCAGTGATTGCACGCCCCGACCACCTCAGGGGTGGAATTACAAGGACCTGCATGCTCCAACCACATCTCCTGTGAACTTGTCCAAGTCCTCACAGATACAAGTACTGATACATTTTTGTTTATTGTCATGTGACAGTTTTTCTAAAACAATACAGACTAATGATTTCAGGACAGTGGTGGAGCGCCAGAGCCCGGTCCCAGCTGCAACCCTGGTGGTTCTCGTGAAAATGCCAAGTATCAGCACTGGTATCTGAACTGGTACCTGGACATCTCCACTTAATACCATAAGTAATAACAATAACTTAACTTAAAAATACCCTTTACCTAAACCCACTAGATTTTAGTAGACTAAATCTACTCTACATTTAGTCAAAATTGGCCAAAACCAGAGCAGAGAGAATTTGTTTCAGTTGACCAATCAGCTTCTCTCTTCAGTTGAGCTTTGAAAATGTGAGACAGAAGCTGATTGGCTCCTATGGGCCCCCATGAAGTCATGCTGGTACACCTCCCGTGTGTAATAACTGTAGCCTTTATAAATATCATGTAAAAGGGGTGACATATGTATAGATAACATCCATCAACGGTGTCCCCTCCAATTCTACACATATCCTGACCTCCTGAATGGTGTCACCTCCGTTCAAGGCCGTCCCGGGTGCAGCACCCCCACCTACCTCCTTATCCGGAACCCACTGAGGCTCCTCCAGGCAGAAGGGGCTGCTGTACGCTCGGTTCTCGGGCAGCATGCGTAGCCCGCTGGGGGAGCGGACCAGCTTCTTGCCATCGGTGGACATCTTTCCTCCCTCACAGCGCCGCACAGCACCTGACCAATCACCTCACAGATCACCCGCGGCCGACAGCCCGCCTCTGACCAATCACGGCACAGTA